TGCTATGAGCTTGAATCTTGCGTTGTGTTCTTCTACTGTATTTGCTACAATGATTACGTCATCGATGTATACATAGCAGAAGCCTTTTTCTCTTAAATCTCCGAGTGCTGTTGTTAGTGCTCTTTGGAAAATTTTTGGCGAGTTGATTAATCCAAAAGGTAGCACTTTGAATTCGAAGCGTCCTAAGCCAGGTATGCTGAAGGCGGTTTTGTGAATGTCTGATTCTTTCATTTTTATTTGATGGAATTCAGAAACCATGTCGATAGTTGTAAAAAATTTGTTTTTTCCTATACAATCAAAGATTTTCAATATGTTAGGTATCAGGTAAGGGTCTGGTATTGTTTTAGCGATTAATTTTCTGTAATCTATGACTAATCTCCATTTTTTTTCCCTCTTTGGTGAGTCCTTTTTTTGGAACGACCCATACTGGTGCATTAAATGCACTTGTTGAAGGTCTAACTAATTTGTTTGCGATTAGTTTTCTTGTTTCGTCCAATGCCACTCGTGTCAGTGTGTAGGGCAAAGGAAATTGTTTGATATATACTGGTTTTTCGTCTGTTAAATTGATCTCGTGTTCTTCGATATTTCACATGCCGAGTTCGTCTCCTTCTAGCCAGCATATGTCTTCGAATGATATAATCAAGTTCTCTATCGCTTGTTTTTTTTTTGTGGGTTAAGTGGTCTAGCTTTACTGTCTCGATCAGTCGGTTTCGTCTTTCTTTCGTGTCTTGAGTTTCCGGGGCTTTTTCTTGTATGATTTCCCTTTGTATTTCTTTTTGTGTATCTATAGTTTCGTTACCTGATAATTCTGCTTCTTGTATTTGTATATTTTGTTTTGTATTGTCCTCTATTTTTATTTTTTGTTCTAATGTCAAACAAAAAGTATAATAGTTGTCCATGATGTATTCTTCTTCTGTTTGCTCTTTTTTATTTTCGAGAGCTTCGTTTATATTTTCCATGAATTTTGCTAAATTTGCTTGATACGTTTGTTCGTCGCATTCCTCTTGTGCTTGCTCTGCTTTTTCTTTTTCTTGCGTGTTTATTTCGTTTACTGTCGTTAATACTTTTTCTAGATCTTGATATAATGATATGTCCTCATTTTTTTATGTATGTCGTATTTTCCTGTAATTTCTTCTGTAGTGTTGGCTTCTTGATTTGAGATAACAATCGATTTTTCTTGTAGTGTAGTAATTGTGGGAGTTGTATGTTTATCTTTTGTATATTTTACGAGTATTTTTTCTCCATTGATTTCTAGGTATCCTTCGTCTAGTCTCACCTTGTAGTCTAAGAAAATGTTTATTCCTAGAATTCCATCGTATGGGATAGAGAAAGTGTCCGGGGCTACATGGAAATCAAAGTATGTATTTTGTATTGGTATCTTTGTAGATCCTAGGGTTTTGATAGACTTGTCGGTTATTCCGGAGATCAGTATCCGTTCATTGCTATTTATGTCTCGTTTTGAAATACTATTATTTTGTATGATGTTTAGTTGAGCTCCGCTATCGATTAACAATTTGAGTTTTTGTTTGAATATGGATCATCGACTTTAATATATTGCAGTAAATTTTCCATTTTCAATACGTATGTTTTTGCTTCTATGTTGGCTGTGTTTTTGACTTGTTGTATTTTTGTATCTTTTTGTTGTGGGAGCGCTTTTTTATTGTGTTCCCTTTCTACGCGTTCCCTCCAGAAAGGGCCTCGAAGTTTCCCGCTCATTCTTTATTTCTGAAGCAATTCTGTGTTGTGTGACCGGCTATTTTACATTTTCCGCAGAATTCGCTGGCTTGTTTTTGTCGTGACAAGATTATGCTGCATTCATCGATTACGTGGCCGTGTTTCTTGCAGAATTCGCATATCTTTTGTTGATTTGTTGGTGTGTTGTTCACTAATGCGCTTAGTTTTCTACAGTCGTTTATATTATGTCCTGGACTTTTGCAGTAGGCACAGCCTTTCCTTTGGAATCCATTATGATTTGAGTTATATGACAGTTGTTGAGTTTGTTGAACTTGCTGCGGTTGCGTTTTTAGAAGTGGGCAATACTTAGCTGTGTGGCCTGTGTCTTCGCAATACTGGCACTTAAATTTCTGTTTAGCTTTGAATTCTGTGAACATGATTTTTACTTGGTCGCAGGTGTCTTGTTCGTGGCCTACTTCTTCACAGATAGCACATATTTTGTATAGAGACTTTTTTATTTCTCCTGCTTTACAATCTTTTACGAGGTGGCCCATATTATTGCACTTTCTGCATATTACTTCCGGGCACTGCTGCATTGTATGTCCAATCTTGTCACAATTTTCGCATTTGTTTTGTTTTGAAATTTGGTCATTCTTACAATTTATTGGGTTGTGTCCTGTTTTGTTGCATTTCCAGCATGCTTCGTAGTCGCTGATGTGTGGGCATTGATCTACTTCATGTCCCATTTCTTGGCAATATTGGCAGTGGATATTTTGTCTTTTGTTTAAGCGACAAGCACTTATTGAATGACTCGGTTGGCTACAGAATTTGCATATTAAATTAATTTTCTTTGGCACTTTCCTGCAACTATTCGAGAAATGATCTGTTCCTTTACAGTATACGCAGGCTGATGTGCGACAAAATAGAGCTTCATGTGAATATTCTCTGCATATTTGACATGTGAGAATTTTTGCTTCTTGAAACTCTTCTTTATCGTTTGAATATGTATAGTTTCTACTTGGTTTTGTTTTGTATTTCCTTTTTTCTATATTGCTTTCAATATCTATTGCCCTTGTCGACATTCCTTGTACTGTAGTTCCTGGGCCTATTTCGTATCTGATTTCTGCTTTTAGTCCTTTCCTATAGCTTTTAGCTGCTTCTTTGTCTAGTGTAGCTTCGAATTGTGTTCGTTCTATTGCTGTGATGTCCTCCCATTTATTTAGTTCCTTTATTCTTAATACTAGTTGTCGTATTCTGTTAGTATAGTGTACAACTGATTCGTCTTCCTCTTGTGATATCTGACGAACTTTTGCATATAGTGCGTGTATGTCTTCTTTGATGGGGTATAGAGTTCTAATTGCATTGATTAGGTCTGTTATATTTTCCACTTTACTTCCTCTTATTGCCTCTTTTACTTCACCTTTAATTTTTATTTTTAATAATTTTGTAAGGTTTCTCTCATCAATGTCATCTATAATATCTTTTACTTCCTTTAACATGGAGATGTATTCCATAGGTGGTATGTTTTTGCCATCGAACTCCGCGACGAAGGCTGCTACATCTTTCAATTGTAATTTCATTGGTTTTTCCTGATTATCCATATTTGTAGGCATTTTGTTAATTGATGGTGTAGGATTTTCTCTAATGATTTTTGTTTCTTGCTTTGTGGTAGACGGGTCTTCGATGAGTGTGTCGATGTTTACTGCTGCTAGAAAATCACTTTTCCGTGAGTCTTCCTTCTGTAGATTATTTTCAAAATTTTTCGGAATTGTGAGTTCTTGTTTATCTTCTTCGGCAAGTGTTTTTCCTTCTTCTTGACTTTGTAGTTCGAGATTTAAAAATATATCTTTTGAAGTTCCTAAGATCAGGCTTTGTTCGTTGTAAATTCCTCCAAAGTCTGAGTATCGTTGATTTTTATCGAGGTCTATTGTGGTATTTACTGTTGAAAAGTTGTTTTCTTGTATAATTGAATCTTGTTCTTCTGTTTGAGTTGCTGGTGAATCTTCGGTTCTTGTAATTTCTGTTTGTGTTTTCTTGGCTTTTTTTGTAGGTGAGTATTGTATCTTGCTGCTTCTTCTGAATGCGCTTTTTTCTAACTCTTTATGTAGGAGGCTTTTCAATTGGGGATTGCTACGCGTTTGGGATCGCGTAAGCTTCGAGTCGCTTGAAATTACTCTGCTAGTTGGGATAATTTTTCCACTCATTTGGGCATTTTATTCGAGAAAAGAAAAGGAACAGTAAATGTATTGAATTTAGATTGTATTGAATAATTATAAGAAAGTTCAAAAGGAAATAATGTGAACTTAAAAAAAACTAAAAATCGATAGTTAAAATTTGTTCGGTTATTGGGAGGGAGTCACGTAAAATGATTCGTATATTGTTCGATTAATAATATTGTAGCATTCATATAAGTATAATTATATAAGCATGTATATATACAAGGTGTCAAATAAGTAACGGAACAAGGCTGTAGCTTTTTAGGTACAGATTATTAGACCAAGGTCAAGGTCATTCCTTTAGTAACTTTCAACGCGGAATCCCATGGTGACCTTGGATTTGACCTTGAGATTGACCTTCAAGGTTATTTCAAGGTCAACTTTGTTTTTTTAAATGGGAACCCCTATTTTTGACAACGGCAATCGAAAGAGCGGAAAATTTTACGTCCATATATGTACTCAGGTTGAAGGTCAATGATGAACTTGAAGTTAAGTTCAAGGTCATTGTAATTTCATGACTGCCTGATCTGTTGTAAAGTTTACACCATTCTGGAAAAGCTCATTCCTTTAGTAGCCTTCAACGACGAATCCGTCGGTGACTTTCGGTTTGATCTTGAGCTTCACCTTCAAGGTTATTTCAAGGTTAACTTTTTCACATTTAGCGTTACCCAGGAAGAACGACGTGATTTTTTTATCTTCTTTGTCACACTTAAGTTTCGCAAATAATAAAAATATTGCAGTAATCTTTATTATTTGAGTATCGTTAGAATGTAAATTGTTTCAAAAAGTATTGATCATTTGCGCTTCATAATTTTGACACTTTTTCTTTTTAGAGAGAAACAAAAATTTAAAAAGACTAAAATATACTTTTTTATTTTGTATTTTTCAGTGTACTTATTTAATACATTATATGGCACAATAAAATTTGTTACTTTTGAATATTTCAATTATAATTTAACTGGTTTTGCATTGTTTGTATCTCTTTTAAATAAATACAATACGATAATTTTATTTTCTTCCTGAAGCTTTTTACATTTTCTGGTTTCATTTTCTTGAAAAATCATGGCATATAATCGACTTTCTAAGCAGGAAAGAGTGAGTTTGTTAATGATGCGTGGTTGGGGAGATCGTATGCGAACTTTAGATGAGGTTCGGATCTTATTCAATGAAACCTTCCGTAATGGAGACGGCTTAACGCCAATATCTAAATCGACAGTCTCTAGAATTGTTCAACGCTTTAATGAACATGGCAGTATTGAAGATGCTGAAAGACCCGGTCGTCCAAAGTCTGCTACTGCTGAAGAAAAACAAATCGAAATTTCACAAGCTTTCATTGAAAATCCACATCATACATTGCGTAAAGCAGCTGCTAAGTACGAAATATCTCATGAATCAGTGCGACGTATACGAAAATTTATACAATTTCACCCCTTTAAGATTCGTTTAGTACAAGAACTTAATGAAGATGATCCAGATCACCGAGTTGAATTCTGTGAATTCATGATGACTAGAATTGACGAAGATCCTAATTTTTTGTATAATATTGTTTTTTCTGACGAAGCTACTTTCCAATTGAACGGTGAAGTAAACAGGCACAATTGTAGGTACTGGTCCGACACTAATCCTTTTTGGATGCTAGAGAGCCACACACAATATCCGCAAAAGGTTAATGTTTGGGCTGGAATATTAAATGATACGTTGATAGGACCATTTTTCATCGAAGGCAATCTCACTGCAGTAAGATATGAAGAGCTTCTTAGGAATGAAATTGTACCAAGAATAAAAGAAGTAGCGGGTGATAATTGTGATGAAAAATGGTTTCAACAGGATGGAGCTGCGCCTCACTTTGGAAGGAACGTTAGAGAATACCTGGACAATCAATTCCCAGCTAAATGGATTGGAAGAAGGGGTAGAATTGAGTGGCCGGCTAGATCGCCTGATATGACGCCTCTGGATTACTTTCTTTGGGGTTACTTCAAAAGTAAAGTTTACGCAACACAACCACAAACTTTAGAAGAACTGCGAAATAGGATTTTACGGGAAGCTGCTGTCATAGATAGGGAAATGATTCGCAGAGCTGTCACTGCTTTCTATGATCGCATAGCTGCTTGCCAAGAAGTTGGTGGTAGGCAATTTGAACATATGAAGTAGATTTCAGCAAAACGTGAGAGGCAAGGGGACTCACGGTAATCAAGCACCCCATCGTGAGAGGCAAGGGAACTCACGCTAATCAAGCACCCCATCGTGAGAGGTAAGGGGACTCACGGTAATCAAGCACCCCAAAGGGAACATATTTTACTACGTCCACGTCGTTGTTCCTGGGTAACGCTAAATGTAAAAAAGTTGACCTTGAAATAATCTTCAAGGTCAATCTCAAGGTCAAATTCAAGGTCACCATCGGATTCCGCGTTGAAAGTTACTAAAGGAATGACCTTGACCTTGGTCTAATAATCTGTACCTAAAAAGCTACAGCCTTGTTCCGTTACTTATTTGACACCTTGTATATGTATATAAGTAACAAATTCGAATATGAGTAAGTAAGGAATTGGTGTTTTGACCTACTTTTTCTCTACTCTTTCCTTATTTCGACTCAAGTTCCAAAATTTTTGCTGAGTTTTAGATTCTACCAGGTTATTTAGTCGCGGCGCGCGATGGTCAAGTTACTACGCCAAAGCACGGTTCGTGCTTATGAAATGACACAATTTACGAATTTGATATTGTGTGTTTTCAGTTCGAAAGAAATCGGTTGAAATGTAATTTGTTGTAAAAAAAAATTTCTTTCAAAATTAGAAATTATTAATTTGTTGTTAATTGATGCCTTGAAGATAGTATTGAAAAGTTCGAATTGGTAGGATAAAGTAATTTATTCCGATTTTGCACTCTGAATTGATAAAATAAAATGATTTTTCTAATTTCGTACCGGAACCAATTTGTTACGTCTCGTGCATAAACTACGAATAGCGAATGTGCGAAACGTACCAATATGATACAAGTGGTTGGTTGAGGCTCACAAGTAATGAGTAATATATGATATGTGGATAGAAATGAATGTGTTTTATTATTTTGTTGTACTTACAGTCTCTGGAGTACTTTCAGTATTGTAGATCTCGGTATTTGGTTAGGTTGAATAATGAAGTTGCACGTTCTCACTTTTAATGGATCGCGTATTTATTAAGATCAAATAGTATAGTTTGACAAGTAGTAATTGAATAGTTAGCCAAATTGTCGAACAGGCTTGCACGTGACTGTAGCGTCGATACGTAAAGTTTATTCGTCAATTGTCGAACTGACGTGTACGGAGTAACAATAATGACTGCCCGACTCTTTACGGGTGGTTCGTCTTATATACATGAATTTGTGCTTAATTAATCGCTGATGTTTCTGTGTAGTTGGGTAATTTTCCTTTCGAGTTCAATGTGCGTTGTGTAATGCTGAGTATGGTCTTTGTGTTTTGCTGCCGTATAGTTTTCCGGTGGACGTGTACATAGTTTTGATTTTACGAAATTCGGAATTGCACTTTTTAGAGAGTGTAAATGAATAAAGATACGTCTTGATACGTAACACTAATATGTTATAATTTTCAGTTTTATATATTTAAGTCGTATTTTTATTTGTGAAACGGCTATTGTTATTAATTTCAAATATTTTACGAACTCCTAAACCAAGTAATTATGCATAATTATAAAAAATATTGTAGGAGTAACTTAAAAAAATGGTGATTATTAATTATTTGAAAAATAACTAGTAAGTGTATAAATAAACTGTTAAGACAATATTATGCGGAATAATTAGTATAACACGAGAAAAATAATTGTTAATGAACGACGTGTCAATTATTATTAAAATAAAAATTAATTTATGCTGCGCTCGAACAGGAACCCACTTTTTGACTAGAAATAATTAATAATTGAACAGATTTTTGTATTTGAAACTACTTGTCTTTTGATAGCTTAAGAAATAAGGTAATCATGAAAATTGGTTTCACGGCAAGCAGTATTCAAATCTTGTAACTCGGCCATCCTCCATCTTTGCGTATGACACCATATACAAAAAAGATCTATATGAACGAGCGAACGCACCCCCCCCCCCCCTCCGTTCCGGCCTGCATAATTACTGTAAAATAAAATTAAAATATATTAGCCGATAGATTTTTAATTGCCGAATTCGATTGTGTCCTTAGATTTTTTAGTTTCACCGTAATAAATTAATAATAATCAGTTTACCATCTGCGAATTCAAACTTCAATATCACTCAATATTTTTAACTTCCTGAAGTACTAAAAAATTGCCCCGCAGCCGATTTAATTTGCCCAGCTAATGACAATTTCAGATACTTAATAATTTATTTATTTATTCATTTATTTATATACTTATGGTGCTTATAGTCTGCGCGATTTTTGCACCGCGCATGCGCAGCTCCATAAAGGTGCTATCGCAATTCGCAAATCGCCTGAAGTTTGCTTGATTAAGACTTTCCAATAAAACTTAGCTTAATTAAAAACATCGCCGCAGTTCCAAATGTTAAGTTACATTGAGTGCTTTGACAATCCACTGTTCATTGTACTTGGTGAAAAATAAATTGTTTTATTTAGTGATGCCTTGTATAGTCTACAATATTCGATAATAGATATAATTTGTTTATGGGTCAGCTTTGGATTTCTATTCATGAATTTTCATTGCTGAAAGGTACAATAGTTTTAAAATATTTAATTTAATGACTCTACCACTGTATTGCTAAATTTCAACATAATAACTAATTTTAGATTTAATTTGTCAAAATATATATATCTAGTGGTTTTAGTTAATAACTTTGTATTTATCTTCAAAAGTACTCTTTATGTCGAGGCAATATAAAATCACATGTTGAACAAGATGTGAGATTTTCTGAGATGGACTATCGTTACTCTGAAAATACCATTCACATGTTACCTGGATACAAATACTTCACAAATATATCTTTACAAACAGAGACAAGTAAAGCTGTTCGTACAGTTTCTGTACACACTCCTCAAGTCAGAACTTGTGCAACGAGGCCAACATGTGGACCTTTTGAAGTAAGCTTTGTACATTAAAGTTAAAGAGAAAATATTATTTCTATGTCCACTGACTACTTTATTTCTATTTCAGATTGTAGATATAATATATTGCAATACAGAACAATCATGAGCAAAATGGACAAGCAGAGTGATGTGTTGAAAGATATCATTCATCATTATGACTTGAAAATAATTGTGAAAAATTACCAATTTAAAGGACGTCCTATGAAAGTTTTTCCTCTTGCTAGATACGTTGAGGTATTATTTTCATTCCGTTTCAGTAGAAGGAAACTTCATTTATTATTCCAATATTTACGCGAAATTGATATATTATTTCAGAGAAAATACAAACGAGTAAAATAAACAATAAGAAGCCCAATGGTAGGGTATAAGCTGGCTGTATCACCCAATAAAATAAAAGAAAAAATAGTAGATTACGACATTTATAACGAAAATACTATTTTGAAAAATAGAAATGATAATGTATAGAAAGAGATATGCGGAAGTTTTAATAATAAAATTAATCCTCTCAATCTATTCAAGATGATTGAGAAAGATAGGCATAACATCAGAACACACTATAATAATTTGAAAGGTTTTGACGTCGTTATTGATACAACAGATTCAATTCTGTAAGATATTGAGAATACGGATTTTACCCTCAGTGAGATAAATATAAATGATTATAAGAAAAACAACAGAATTAAACTGTAACTTTGTAACATCTGTGCCAGGACTAATGCATGCCCGAATACTGGCGATGGCCCATTGCACATCGCATGCGGTACGGGACGCCACTCAACATCTTTATAACGTTAAGATGGTCTAATGGGCTAAGGGGCTGCTCACATATAATGGGCAGTCACTCACGAGTCCAGAAGATCGGCGACGTTATTAGGCGTCCCGGCTCCATCAGTGCAACGATGGAAGAGAGTTGCGTGAGGCTGCTAATGTCACCGCGAGCAGCTATTGGGTAGACGCAGGTAGTGCGAGAGTCCCTGGTCGGGATTATATCCAGTACCACAGGACACGAATAAACGCTCTGCCCTCCAGAATTAGAACATCTAGAGGACGCCGTGACGGAGGTGTTCCTGTGCTTTGTCGTGCCGGATGTCACGTGGCGGAGACTGCGGCGCACATCGTGCAGGGATACCATCGGACTCACGGCGGCCGGATTCTGAGGCATGATGCCATCTGTCACATAGCTGCGATAGGGCTCAGGTAAAGGGGGTGGCGCGTGTTCGAAAATCCGCACTACTATCTTCCATCAGGGTTACAGAAACCCGATGTCGTCGCAGTAAAGGATGAGAGCGTCAAAATCATCGATGCACAGGTGGTTAGCAGAGCAGCATCACTCGACGACGCACATACACCAAGTGCAGGAAATATGATACCCTTCCGCTTAAACATCACATAGCTCGTGAGTTGGGGGTTGTGGTCGAGAATATCTCGGTCACATCCATTACCCTCTCATGGAAGGGTATCTGGTCGTTGAAGTCGGCTAGTGACCTGACCTCCTTAGGGCTCCAAAAACTCTTGCCAGGCATTACAACAAGAGCCTTGCAGGGTTCGCACATGAACTGGACACGGTGGAACAGGATGACTGGTGTCACCGGCCGTCCTGTCCCACGAGAAGGGGTAGGATAGGGCGATTGCGGTCAACACGCTTATGCGTTTGGGTAACCCAGACCCCACCACCTTAAGTCGGCACTGGGAAATAAAGCCGCGGCCTGCACTATCAACATCTTCAGTGCGGGTGACAGATGGAGTTTTAGTGGGTATTCCTCCATGGAGGTGAGCCCCACATACCAGCGCCAACATCTGCTGAGATGCGTAAAGGCATTTCTCCATCTATAAAAAAAAAAAAAAAAAAAATAGGTCATTGTAAGGAGTGCAAATCTAAAATTAATTTGATGTGTGAAGAGAAGCCTACAAAAGTTGTTCCTGCTAAGTTTATAGTTGATACGATAGATACAAAACACATACCACACTATCAGAAACTAAGGCTGCAAAAAGTAGCTAAATTAGTAGTTGAGAAGGAGCTTTTACGCATGAAACCAAAACAATGGAGACGAGATACAGCAAGAAAGCAAATGATAAATGGTGATCCGGAACC